TACGCGTACTCGACCAGCTGCACCTCGCGCATCAGCGACTCGATCCCCGCGACGCTCGGCAGGTCGAGCGAGTCGTAGGCGCCGAGAGTCTCCAGGGCCTTCATCCCGAACTCGTGCATCGGGACGCCCCAGCTGTCCTTGTGGAGGCGGTGGGCCATCACGAAGAAGCGGTGGCGGTCGAGAGGGCCGCCGCCCCGACGGTCGATCCAGCGGCAGCACCAAAGGGTGGTGCGAGGGCCCTCTATCGCCCAGTCGGGGAAGGCGATCTCAGATAGCGAGCTGGCCACGTCCCGCCATGGTCGACGCGAACGCTGGCCATTCAGCGCGATCACGCTGAGGAGGCGGGCGTCGCCCGCGGCCTCAAGGCCCTTGAAATCCTTCACTTGGTCGGAGCGGATCGTGCGAATCAGCGCGCCACCGACGCCAGGAGCCATGTGGATGCCGATGTCACCAGACATGACCTCCGTGCCATTCGGCGCCACTGGGGTCCCGCGGGGGCCGTGCGTCGTCGTCTCGACCGTGACCAGCATCGGGTAGGGTGCCGCTGCCACCATGCCGAGCCCTGCGGCTAGCGGGGCCCCAGCTGCAGGGGCGCCAGCAGCCATGGCCGCGGGGAAGGCGGCCGGGGCGGCGGCCCCAGGCGCCGCGGCGGCCAGCGGGGCCGCCACCACAGCCCCCGGTGGTGCAGCGCCGGGCAGCGCGGCTGGGGGTGCTCCGAGCAGGGCCAGCGGGGCGGCGGCCGCGGCGGGGGCGCCCAGGGCCGGAGGGCCCGGGGGGGGCGCCACCCCAGGGAGCGCCAGCGGCAGCCCGGGGGCTGCGGGGGCCACGGCGGCGGCCGCGGCTGGCGCCACGGGCGCGGGCCACACGGCATCCACCAGGCTGCCCGTCGCCGGGAGCACTGCGGGCTGTCCTGCCGCCCGCTCGCGAGCGAGGAAGGCGGCGTTGCAGAACGCCTCTGCGTCCGCGCGCATCGTGGCGAGGGCGGCGGCGTCGGGCTCCTGCTGGAAGCGGCGCACCTGGCCACGCGGGATCCCAGGCGGGGGGGGGCGGAAAGCCTCCGACCATCGCCAGGCCTCGATGTCCCGCGAAGCCCCCGAGAGGTCGATCTGCTCGGGGTCACCGTCCGGCGAGACGCCGACGACCTCGCCAGCGTCAGTCACTTGAGTCGCCGAGGAGGCCAGCACCCCGACAACGCGCCGCTGGTGGTACAGCGCCTCGCCCTGGTACCGGAGCCACAGCCAGGGTCGTAGTATCGGTGGGGGCATCGCCGCTGCCATCAGTCCCGCGGCGGGGACACTGAGCCGTCAGCCAGCGCAGCACCTGCCAGATGCCCAGCGCGAGGGCAGGCACCACCGCTCCCCCAGCCGCGCCCAGCAGCAGGAGTCCAGCGGACGCAATCCAGCCAGGGAGCCACGGCGGCGCTGCCGCAGGGGTGGCGCAGGCTGGCTCGGGGGCCCCGGGGCAGCCCGGGCACGCGGGGCACTGCGGGCACGCTGGCGCCGGGGGGCAGTGCACCTCACCGCGCACGAGGGAGCCGCAGACGGACTCGGGGCACCGCGGGCAGGAGCCGAGCCAGGCGAAGCTTGCCCAGCCCAATGCGCGACAGCCACCGGCAGGTCGGGCATGCGACGCGCGCGAGAAGCGCGCGCCCGCCCGTGAAAGCTTGAGCCCCGCGGTTGCGGCAGGGCGGCGCACTCTGCAACTCTCTTCCAAGCAAACCTTTACTGAAGTATTCAAAGGAGGAGGAGGAGGAGGAGGAGGAGGAGGAGGAAGAAGAGGGAAGGCGGGCCGAGGGCAGCGGCTGCGAGCGGCGGCGCGCGGGGCGGCGGGCTCCGCGTGGCCACCGCCCTCTCTGCCGCTTCTGCTCGCTCCTCGCTCCTCGCTCCTCCTCCTCCTCCTCCTCCCTCCTCGTCCTCCTCCTCGTCCTCCTCCTCCTCCTCCTCCTCCCCTCTCCTCTCTCCTCCCTCCTCCGCCATCTCTGCCGCTTCCTCCTGCAGACCGTCTTCGCTGCACGATGCGGCTGCGGCGCAGGTAGATGCGGCGGCCAGGGCGATGGCAGTTGCTGCTGACGATGCATCCGGTCCGTTGGTTCTCGAGGCGACGCCCCTCGGAGCGCAGACGTAAAAAAACAACGTTCTTTTTGCCCCGGGAGCGCGGGCAGAACGGAGGCAGACAGGACAATGCATCGCGCCAGAGGCCAGCTGCACAAGGCTGTGCTGCGTGATCGCGAGGCTCAGCTTCGGAGCCATTTTCCGCCGCACTCCAGTGGCACCGTTTTCTCTGGCACTGGCCGCGGCGGCCCCAGCTTGCCCGAGCCAATGGGCCACTCCATCGAGCATGATGGTGGCGTTCCGGAGGCGCTGGCGATCCGCTTCAGGTAGCCCCCAGGGGTGCGTGACCTTCTGGGCCCACCTGTCGGCTTCGATGTTGCCTCGGCGCTGGTAGGCGGCGAGGTGCCCGCGGCGCACGAGCAGCAGGGTCGCATGCCCTTTGATCTTGAAGATCTGGAGGCCCATCGAATTGATACCACCCAAGTCGTCGATCAGTCGCCACACCTCTCGTCACAGGTGTTCCCACGAGGCCGCAGCCGCCGTGGTCGCAGAGCGCCCGCGGACCAGCAGCCCGTCCACGACGCACGGGGAGTCGCTGTAAATGGCGAGCGGCGGCATGGTGTCCCTCAGGGCGAGCGCGATGGCGAAGAGCTCCGCGCCGTCGATGGATTGCCAATTCCCGACCGAGGGGGATCCGATGGCCTTGATGGTCGAGCGCGGCCCTGGGTCTGCAACTCCACGGTCTTCGGGAAGCCGGACGACAGAGCACCCCGACACGGCGCCGCTGCTACCCGAGGCCTCGAAACAGGTGCCGTCCACAAACGAGTCGCCGCTGTAGAAGGGGTCTCCCGAGATGCGATAGCACCAGACCACGTGGTCGAACATGCCGCCAGCAGGGGGGGCGCCAGCTGGTGCTGGGGGCGCTGAAGGTGAGCCTCTCGACGAGGGCGCGGATCACCTCGTTGTCGCTGTTCCTCTTGAGCAGGCGCATGGTTGCTGGCAGTTCCAGGCCCCCCCATTGACGTGCACGGCCAGTGTGGCGATGCCACATGGATCCCTCCTCCGTCGGGCATGCCGAACAGAAAGGTGAGTCGGCATATGAGGGAGTGTTGTGATACTTGCGGGCGTTGGTCCACTGGCCGTGAATGAAGACCGATCGGGCGTAAACCAGCTGCTGCCAGGTGAGCGCGGGCCACCATCGCGCTTGGTGGGAAGAGCCCTTACCTGAGTTGATCCATTTACGCACCTGGCCCCCAAATAGGGAACCTGATACCCAATGGGCGCTCTTGGCGATCTGCGACACCTGCCAGGCCTCGCAGCTGCGCTCCAGGGCACGTTTCAGGTACCAGGGGGAGAAGGCGTCGATGTCGTAAGCGGCGCCGTCGTGCTGCGCCCAATCGGCCAGCGTGGATGCTGACCAGCCCGCGCGCCTCAGCGTCATATGCGCAGCGCTCAATGGCCCCGTCACCTGCGACCAGTCGGAGACCGAGCGGGCCGCAGTGGAGAAGGCCAGCTCCAGCACGTGCCTCGGCAGCCACTGCTCCCAGACCGCCCTCGACAAGGTGTAGAGCGGCGCGATTGTCGTCGAGAAGATGGGGTCGTAGCACGGCCCCGTGGCCACCAGCGCGGCCGTGCGGGACTTTCCCGCAGGGCGGATCTCGACCAGCCTGAAGGCAATCGCCCGGGCCTGGTCGAGCTGCGCGTCGTTGAAGCCGGTAACGCTGGCTCCGTAAGTGTAACTCGCCTCCAGGCCCACCTTGGCGACGCGTGCCGCCGCGCGCCTTCGGGTGCCCTCGCCGAGCAGCATGCGCGCCCGGCCCAGCCTGCGGCGAGGGGCCGCCAGCCTTTCAACCCTCACCACCTGGGCGGCCCGCTCGCCCTCGGGTTGGTCGATGCAGGTTTCGCACGGCGCCTTTTCCCCTGGCCCCGCACACGCTGAAGAGGTTTCGCTGCAGGGCGCCCCTGACAGCGGGGGCGGCGGCGACCGCTACGGACTTCTTGGCCGCCACGTGGATGTCGACTTCGCGCGGGGCTTTGACCGGGGGCCTCGCGCACCTGGTGAGTTCGGCCACCGCGCGCGAAACTCCGCCGATCTGCTGCGTAACCACGTCGTCGACGACGACAGGGGGCGCGACGGTGGGCACCGCGGCGGCGATGGCGCCGATGGGGCCTATCAGGAGAACCTTCAGGAAGGTGGTGGCGAAGGCGTCGACCGCCAGGACCATCTGCTCGGCCTCGACCAAATCCGAGGCGGCCCCTTCTGGCACGAGGGACGTGGGCAGGCGGTAAAGCTCCAGCTGGAGCTCCAGAAGCCAAAAGAGGGAAGCCGTAGGCGACGGCTGTTCGCGCCAGGTGGCGGCGCTGGCACTGCTCGAAGGCCTTCCAAAGGTCCGGCACGATCACGGCCGAGCTCCAGTCTTGGTCAGGGTGGGGCTTTTGCTGGGCCCGCACCCACTCGGACCAAGCTTGCTGCTGCCAGACGGCGCGGTCGCAACTCTTGCCGCTGGCAGTCCACCAATAGCTGCGCGGGTTGGCGGACTCCCAACCGGCAGCCACGCGGCGGCGGAGACGCCCGTGGACGCGCACCGCAGCCGCTAAAAGCGCGATTGGGCAGTCGCCGCCCTCGCGCTTTGGGATGAGCACGAGCTTGGCGGTGAACGACGGCCATCGGCACTCGGCCTCGATGCGCACGAGGAGGCCCACCACGGCTTCTACCCCCGGGTCGGACATGGCGCCGAAGTCCCCGGGGCAGAAGGCGTCGAAAGAGGAGCCCGTCTGCTCGGGGAAGGAGCGGAAGGCTTCCCTCATCCCCTCGATCGTCGGCCGCGGCGGCCGAGGGCCCAGGTCCTCGGACAAGGCCAACAGACAGGTTCGCGGGCCATGCCGACTCGCCAGTAACCCGACTATTCACGGACCAAGGCCTCCACGGCCTGCACCTTGCCAGCGGGCCCGCGCAGCTCGGGCGCCACGGGGCCGGCCTGCCATGGCAAAGGCTCCTTCGTGATGGCGTGCAGGGCGACCGATCCGAGCGCCGCCTGTTCCTCGACCCATGACCCGAACTTTGCCTTGGCGCGGCTCAGGTCGCGCTGCGCGCTCAAGTCGGCGAGCATGGCGCCCATGGCCGAGATGGCCAGCTCTGCGCGCCTCTGCACCAGCCCGAAGAAGCCGCCGACGATCTGGAGAGCCCAACGCAGGGACCTCTTGCTGTCGCTGCAGTCGGCCGAGTGCTCGGATCCCTCTTTCACGGGCCAGCGGCCGTTCGAAGTCAACGGCCTCGCGAGCAGCCAAGAACCACCGCTTGATCCAAAGGGGCTCCTCCGTCACCCTGGGGATCCGCGGAGGCGAGGGCAGGGCGACGCGCTGCCAGCGCAGCCGCGGCTGCAGGTGCCTTCCTCCGCGCGAATCGGCCTCTCCATCCAGCCCGCGCGCGTCCAGGACGTTGGCTTCGGCCTGCATGATGAAGGCCTTCCACGCCGCGTGCATAGTTTCGGCCTGATCGATGTCTACCCGCGCTTGGAGCCACGCTGGGTCGTGGTCGCGCGAGCAGCAGCCTCGCGGAAGAGGCCGCGGGAGACACCAAGGAGTGGGCATGACCTGCATCATGGGCGGCTCGCCAACGCAATCGATCTCGATCAGCACAGGCCTGTGCGGGCAAATAGGCCAATCCAGCAGCGTGGTTATCTTGGCCTTCGCGAAGCACGGCGAGACCACGAAATAGTCAAGGATGCCGTCGGAAGGCCTGCAGGTGCCGATGCTGGGCGCGAGGACACAAACCTGCAGCTGGTGAACGAGCTTGCTTTGCTGCGCGTCGGCCGGGCTGAAGTTGAAATCGTTCGAGATGACGAAGGGCTTGCCCAGCGTGGTGGCCACCTTGGTTAGAATGTCCAGCAGCGCCACGCTGGCGGCGGACATGCCGTCGCCACAGACGAGGTGCACGTTGAACCACGCGAAACCGCCTGGGACCAGGCCGGCGTGGTGGACCACCGAAAGGCGGCCAGGCACGAGCCCGCCGGAGTCGATCCCGACGCGCTCGAACGGCGCCATGCCCCAATGGCGCGGCGCGAGCTGTATGAGGCCTCCGTGGCCGTGGCACCCCGCGGCCTCAGCGCCGTCAGCGGCCCTCACGAGGGCGTGCCAGCCCAGCTTACACAGCTGAGCGGCCGCCGCAACAGCCTGGGCCGGCGACTGGTGGGTCTCCTGGACGCCTACGGAGTCGCACCACCGCAGATCTCTGCGGGGAAGAAGGGACTCGAATGTCCCATTGCTGTTGGCATTGACCGTAATGCCTCTCCATACTCTGCGCAGAGCTGTCAAACCCGTGTCTGGCCGGGCTGCTGGGAAACAGGCGCCAGCCGCTGCCGCTTTTTTGCTGGGTGCCGAGCGCGATGGACTCGGCCAGCCGCTTGCGCTCAGGGTCCTGAGGGTCAGCAGAGCATGCAGCGAACAATCCATCAAGATTTTCCTGCTCCATGAAGTTGCCGAACTCGTCCGTGTCCATGTTGTTGCCCGCGGGTTCGTTGATGTCGCCAGGAACTGTGGCAGTGCCTGTTGCATGTGCGGCGCGTGCGGGAGCCTATGCAGACTGCGCGGGAGGCTGCGCGGGAGGCTGTTCGGGAGGCTCGGGTGCGGGCGCGGGCCGGCAGGCCGCCAGCGCCTCCTGCAGGCTTCCGAGAACCTGCTCGACGGTTTTGCCGCTGGCTTCGGCGGAGATCTTGGTGACGGCCTCCTCGAGAGCCGACATGGAAGCATGGGCGGGCCCCGCGAAGACCTGTGCGGCCTTGGCGCGAGCGTCCCGGAGCTCTTGCTCCAGCTTCGCGACCTTGTCCTTGGAATCAGCGAGGATCTGCAACGCCTTGGCTGCATGCTCCGTGTCATTGCTGACATTGGTGCGGGCCTGGACCAGCTGCTTGGACAGCTTATCCACCTGTTGGCTGACGTCGGAGCCGACGGCGACCATCTCGAGGCCCGAGTCCTTGGCGCGGCGCATGTTGGTGACCTTGTCTTGCACCGACCGCGAAAACTTGGTGCGGAAGAGCTCCCAAGTCTCGGCAGGGAGCCCCGCGTAAATGGCCAGCTCCTCGGCACTGACCTGCTGCGGCGGCGCGGTGCTGTCGTCCCCGCCGCCGCCTCTGCCACCGCCGCTGCGCCAGGGCGGCTTGTCCTGGCCCTTGGGCGCATTTGGCGCGCCGAGCCATTGCCCCAGCTGCGGCTTCGGCGGCCCGTTGCGCCATCGCCCACCAGGCTGGCGTTGCTGCGCCTGCGCTGGCCCGAAGAAGCCCTTGCACCCGGCCGTGGCGCAGCGGCGGTGCTTCGCGAGGTCCCACACATCGCAGCTGCCGCAGTGCCAGCGGGCCTCCGCGCGCGGCCGAAGTGGCAGAAGGAGGGACCGAAAGAAATCGGACGGATCGCTGAGAGTTTAAAGCTTTTGGCTCTGCCAGCACTCCCACAGAGTGCTCACAGCGCCACGTCGTGACTTGCACCCGCTGGGAATGCATGGCCTTGAGCAAAAATGGCTACGGAATCACATATTCATCTCTATATATATATATATATACACACAAAAACCAAGCGCGCGCTTCGCGCGCGCTTGGGTTCTCCCTCCCCCCATTTCTCCCCCCCTACGCTCCTCGACTCCGTCTTCTTTCAAACACCTCAAAACACCCCTCTCCCCCCCTTTACTCCTCGTTCCCCCTCTCCTGACCTCCGTTCACCCTCACCATTCCCCTTTCCCATCCCCCTCCTCAGCCAAATCTGGAAAAGGCCAGAACTGGTTCCTGCACCGCAGTCTTTTCTTCTTCCACTGACCGACCGATATCTCCTACGGCGCATATAGGTTGACACACAAGAGTGCCCAAAACATCCACATCCCCAGACATAGTTTTTCACGCCACGCCTGCAGGTAACAAACGACCGCCTTTGGGGTGGCAACATGCTTCGGCACGAGCAGCCACGTGAGACGACGCGGAAATACTTGTCGATGAAAACGAACCGATTAAATGCTATCGCGGTGTGCAGGCAGATGTGAATTGACACGTTGCAGACGCCTACACATAAGCACAAGCGGCCGCTGCTAAGTTTTGTCTGGAGAGCCTTGCATAGAGGAGGAGGAGAATCTCTAAAACGGGCACGCTAAAATCACTGAAAAACAATTGGGGAATCATTGATGTTCACCTCTCGCAGGCCTCTTGGAGTTACACGTGGGGCGTTCTTGGAGGGTCCTGGGCCGTCTTGGAGGCGTGTAGAAGCGCCTCATTGGGCCGTCTAGGACACGACTTGACCATGTTGGTGGTCTCCCGACGTCGGTCGGATGTCGAAATCGTGACTTCGACTACCCTTGAAGCCGATATAACCTCCCAGAGCTCCGAGAAAGAGCCCTGGTCCCACGGGTGTTAAGTCTTGTGTCCAGGGGTCAGCCCCACTCGTCATCGTGTGCCCGCGGGGGGAACACCACATGCCTGCAACAGACATCGGGAAACCACTGGCGCTTGCCCCTTGGAGCCCTTGCGGGTGAGGTGCCTCGTGGAACGCTTTTACTGCAGGTTCGTGTCGTGCCGACCCCAGCGTTGGTTTTTGACACCGCAGGGATCGTTCAACCTTGAACGATCGGCCGCTGCCGCAACGTCCGATCGTTCAACATCGATCGATTCTGGGCCGCCGGCGGCGTTCAACCTTTAACGCCGCTGGCGGGGTCGCCGCTGGTCGACACGACGCAAACCTACCGTAGAGCGCCTCGAGGGCGTTGTGGGCCGTCTGGAAGCGCTTCCTGGAGACCTCTCGCGCAGACTCTTGGGGGCCTGCTTGCTTCGTGCTCCCGGGCTCTCGAGGACACTGAGAGAGTCCCGGCGCGCGGAGGTGTCAAAATCTTGGCTCGTATTCCCCCTCCTCCTCCTCCCTCCCCTCCCTCCTCCTCCCTCCCTCGCCTCCTCCTCCTCCTCCTCCTCCTCCCTCCTCCTCCTCTCCTCCTCCTCCTCTCCTCCTCCTCTCCTCCTCTCCTCCTCCTCCTCCTCCTCCTCCCTCCTCCTCCTCCTCCTCCTCCTCCTCCTCCTCCCCCTCCTCCTCCTGCACGGGGGTGCAGGCCCCCTCCTCTTGGGCAGATCTTCGGCGGTTTCTGCTGTGTTCTCGGGCCGTCTTGGAGATCTCTTGGGCCATTTGGGAGGCCGTCCCGGCGCCCGCTTGGGAGTCTCTTAGGCCGTCTCGGGGCGTTTCTCGGGGCCTCTGAAGTAGTCCTGGAGCGCTGGATCGCGGCAAATGTCAAACACCAAATAACGTCCCAAACAAGTGGATCAAATATGTCTGTTGCCCCTCGGGGTCCTTTGGGGGTGCCCCTTGAAACCCTCCTGGAGCGTCTTGTTGGCGTATAGGGGCCGCCTGCAAGCTCTCATGAAGCGTCTTGGCTGCGTTTTGCGTCACCTGGAAGCCATCAAGAACGCCGGGGCACAAATGTTCTGCGGCTCGGGCCCTCTTGGGCCGCCCGGGCACCCCTGGAGCCGCGTCGGACGCCTGGTGCGAAGGGCCGAGGCCCTCGGCACCACCAGGCGCTGTCGGGCCCTGGACCCCGGGCCGTCTTGGGAGCCTGTTTTTTTTGTTGGCATGTCGATCTAGTTTTCCTTGCCCACGCGCTTTTGGCGTATTGCTGCTTCGTTCGTACTCGGTCGAGGCACTTTGGCTCAAGGCACTTCTGGCCAAGTCCTTTGATCCTGAGTCCTGAGCCACAATGCCGCCCCCGCACAGGAAGAGTAAATCATGTACCTCGCAGGGGCGCACGCACTAGAAAGTGCAAACGCAAAATGAGGTCGGGCGCTCGGCAAAATTGTGTTGCACTTGGTAGGGGCATCCCTTCTTGAGACATGAAGCCCGCCTCACGACAAGGATTCCTTGCCTCGGGCATGTGAGCTTGGAGCCCATCACTAAGCACATTCATTCCTGAATGCCTGCGTCACGTCAACAAAAAAAGGGACCGCACCTGCACCAGGATACAAGAAGGTGCCAGTGGCTATACGACTCGATTGAGATTCAAGCATCTATTTTTTGCCTCGGCATCTGGACTTGGAGCCCATAACGAATTAATGTCTACAAACTGTTTAAAGATCCTTGTGGGGGCACAGATAAACAAATCTGTACATAAAAGGCAATCGGTGTATTAGATTGGCAGGCGGCGGATTCATTCCTGAATGTCTGCGCCGCGCCAGCGCTGGAAGAGACTGCGCCTGCACCAGGATGCAAGAAGGCGCGGGTGGGTATTCGATCTAAGGCTTCATGATTTCTTAGAGCACATGCGTCCAGGGTAAGACCGATGTGCTGGATCACACACTGTCAACCTTGCTGGAGGAGTCGATTGGGCAAGTAGTCCAGCCCACGTGCGTTCTGCATAGTGGCCCTCCTCAATGGAATCATTGCGCGCAAGCCTGGCCACCAGCAGCGGCCACAGAGAATAATTCACCGCCCGAATATTGTCCATGCGCACTGCGAAGTTGCCACCATAACATACCTGGATCACACTTGCACTGTCATCAGAACTACCATTACGATTCCCAAACATAATGCCCAAGCTATCCCACCATTTGTTCAACGGCCTTTGATCTGCAGCAGCTCGGAAATAATGTCTGACCCCTTTGTACTCTGAAAGGTTGAACTTGCCTAGCCCGGCAACCAAGTGGAAATCAGTTGCCGGTTCTTGCATTGTGAAGAAGCAACCAAACCCATGGCTTCGCAAGTCGGCTAGGACTTCTGAGAATTTGCACTTGCGCATCTCAGGTTGATGCAGCATCATGTTGTCTTTCAACAAAAAAACTGACGCGTTAGCAGAAAGATGCGCCGTGAGACCCTCGCCAAGATGGCGCAGGGCCCAGGCATAGGAATGATCATTGCGGCCAACGTTTGTGAGATTGATGAGCTGGATATTCTGGCTGTGTATTCCGAGACGTTCCAGGGGGGCAACGCCGACACTTCTTCCACACTTTTGTATGACCATCATCAGCGTGCTGTTCACGTCCAGATACTTCGCAGCTTCGGTCATTTCCAATATCATCCCTCGCGTATTTTTACACAGTGATACTACAACAAGCGACGAGTAGGTGATGACTTGGCTTGCTTGGGTGCTTGGTTGCTTGCTTGGGTGCTTGGGTGCCAGACGAGTAAGTGCTTGGGTGCTTGGGTGCTTGGGTGCTTGGGTGCCTGGGTGCCCAACGAAAACCAGTGGTGAAGCTTTTACCACTTGCCAGCATGGGAGCCGCACCCTTGAGGACGAGGCAAGCCACAACAGGGACGAGGACGAGCACGATGGCCACGCAGATACCGATGAACAGAGGCCTCAGGTTCCCCATCGCCACGGGTATGCGACAGGAAATATCAAGTGAAATGGATTGAGCCCGAATGGCTTGAGCCAAACTTGATCAGAAATGGCTACGGAGGGCCGTCTTGGGAGCCTCTTGGACCGTCTTGGACGCTGTGCGTGTAAATGTGTGTGGAAGTGTGCGAATGTGTGTATGTGTTTACGTGTGTGTGTGTGTGTGTGGAACAATGTGGTTGCTTGGAGGTTGGCAACTTCCTGTGTACAAGAAACTGAAAAAATAACGAAACAATAACGCGGCACTCAGCCTATCCGCTAAAGCAGGCACGCCGGCTTGGCACTGCGGTGTAAACAGGAGGGAGCCTCAGCCAGACAACCCCAGTTGGGAACAGGGAGGACTAGCGCACAGGAGTGGGGAAAACGCGATACGATGGACAATTGCCTTTCCATGGAGAGCACATCAGCACTGTGTAAACATCATACACAATGTCTATGGCAATCCAAATGCTTCAAGGGGATTCTTGACTGCGACGGCTTGGAGATACGAGACACCCGAGGACCAGCCATTCGCGATGGGAGCAATCTGGGACACGACTATGAGCATGTATTGCGCCGGCGGCTGGTTACATGCAGCGACGACACGAGGTGCACTTGTTGGAATTATACGTTGCCCTAAACAATTGCACAACGTCTACAACAAATGTATACACATATATCTATATATATGTATATATATATATATATATATATAAACATTATACAACCATCGCGCGCGCTCAAATTCTAGCTAGGCTGTATGGTCGAATTGCTGGGGTTTTCTATTACATGACACTTCTTCTCCGGGCCTTCCAAGAACCACGAAGACGGCCCAAATGGCTCCCAAGGCTTCCTACGGTCCACCCGCGACGGCTACAGAAAAAAACCCAAATCACTTCGGGAGCCCTTTTATTGGCTGGGGCTGGACGTAGCCGGGGGAAGAGGGAGGAGAAGGGGAGGTGGAGGGGTACCCTGGGAGAGAAGGAGGGGGAGGATGAGGAGTTGGATGGGGTGGAGGAGGCCGCAAGGGAGGAGGAACTGGAGGAGGAGGAAGAGGAGAAACAAATATGGCGTTCCCTTTTTTTGCAAGCGAAGGCGAAACTGCCAAGCGAACTTAAAATGAAATATTCGAACTCCCGTTTTTCTCAAGTGCCCTCGGGGCCTCTCTCGGGGCTCTTTTGGGCCTCTTTAGGGCTTCTTGGGGACCTCTTAAAGCCTCCTGGGAATCTCCTGGGGCGAAGATCTCGGGTTCTCGGCTCACGTTCCCGATCCTGGGCCGCGGTTGGGGCTCCTTCGGGCCGTCTTGGACGTCTCTTCAGCGCTTTTGAAGCCTATTGGGCCGTCTTGGGACACTTATGAAGCCTATTTGGCCGTCTTGGGGCGCTCCTCGGAGCGTCTTGGGGCGTTTTGCGGCGTCGGGAAGCGGAACATGCGGAAACGCGAACATTGTTCAAACACCAATGGAAACTAACTGTTTGTTGGCCTCTTGGGCTCTGTTGGGAGACCTCTTGGAAGCCTTTTGGGTATCTCAGGGACCTCTTGGGCCGTCTGGCGGCCGTATTGGACCATCTAGTGGCCTGCGGCCCATCCCGCCACCGTGCCTGGGTTGTGGGTTAGAGGCCTCTTGGAAGTTCGTTTGAATTCGTGGGAGGCCTCCTGGGGGGCCTCTTGGAGGCAATGTTGGAGGCGTCTTGGCGTTCGTTTGGGGTTCTCTTGGGGCCTCTTTTTGGGCCACGTTTGGGCCTCATGGGGCCTCTTGGGGCCTCCTGGGGGCCTCTTGGGGCGGAAGGTTCCAATCGTCGTTTCGTCTTCCCCCTCTTGGGGCTTTCTTGGGACCCTCTTGGACGATCTCAGGCGCCTCTTGGGCCGTTTTGGAGCATTTTTGGGCCGTCTTGGGACTCTCTTGCGCCGTGCTGGCGCCCTCTTCGGGTGCCTCTTAGGCCGTATTGAGCTGATTTCTGGGGCCTCGTGGGCTGCCTTGGACCGTCGGAAACACAAAAAAACGAGAACCCGAACAATCATCAAAAACCTTCTAACGAAAATACTGTTTCGCCTCCTGAGGGCCTCGTGGGAATCCTTTTGAGGGCATCTTGGCCGTCTTCAGGCCCTCTTGAGCCGTCTTCACGCCATGTTGGACCGATTTTGAAACGCTCTTGTGCGGTCTTGGCCTCTCTTGGAGCGCTCTTGGGCCATCTTGGCGCCCTCTTGGACGTCTCTCGAGCCCCTTTGGCGTTTTTGTTGCGCCCCTCGGCGGGCCCGAAATGGCCGGACGATAAATCAGTGCACTTTGGGAGCCACGGGACCCTGTACCCATTTAGGTATCTCATTATAGAACAAGCAGAACACACAGACACCAACCACACACAGAGAACACCACACACACACACACAAAAAAACGCAACAAACACACACACACAACACAGATGCCACACAACGCACAACAACCACGGCACACACACAGCGCACGGTACACCAAACACACCCGACACACAACTCACACTCAACACACCTTACAGTCACCTGACACACCTAAACCAGACAACAAGCACGAACACACACACACACACGCAATGCACATACGCACGCAATACGCATAACCCATGAACAACTCACGTAACACACAATACACACAGCACGCATCACACACCACACATGACACATAACACATGTGTTGTATGAGCTTGAGCACGCAAGTGCCTACTGTGTATGCATGTGTACGCATGCATACACATGGGCGATACATTGGCGATGGACAACGTCAGAGCCTGCGAAGGAGCCTGCACATAATGGGCGATAACAGCTTCGCTGCTACAATGCGAAACTCACCAATCGCATGTGTCTTCTAGCTCACTCGCGTGCGACGCATAAACACATCTCCCCTGGGCAGGCACCGCACTGGCCAAACCCTTCAGCCTAGGAGCTCTGCTACCTCACAGCGACGACGGCTTACGAGGCAGTGCTCCGCAACACTGGTCCGCTCTCAACTCTGGACACTTCCATATATATATATACACATATATATAACGTACCCGGATATAATGTGTATATATATAGAGAGAGAACACATATATATGTATATATATAGCACATGTCTATACTCTGACCGTGCTAAGTGCTCCAATATCCACCACCGTGCCGTAGGCACTGAGTGGACAATCCTTTGCATTTTGGTGCTCAAAATACTAACATACTCTTAATTAGAACCTCCGCGCGCATGCTTCGCGCCTGCTCAAGTTCTACTTCTCATGGGGCCAAGCGTATAGCGCGTCAGAGGGGCCGTGTCCGGATGATCGGGTCCTTGGCTTGGAAACGCACGCCTTGGTGTCGGAAGTGGCCGTGTGGCTGTGTATTCGTGGTAGTCCTGGGCTATCCTTGGGCAATCTTGCAACTATCTCGGGGACCACTTGAGCCTCCGAGGCCATCTTGAAGCCACGCGAAGGCAACACATGGGAACTCAAGAAAATAAAGGAACACACGTTGGAATTCCTGTTGGTTTTTCCCCACATGTTTCGTAGGGTTATGTTTTTTCCCTGCCGCGGCGCACCCGCGTCTCACACCTCCCTCTCCGTCTTTTCTCTCTCTCTCTCTCTCTCTCTGACCTCACTCTTCCCCTCCTCCTCACAGCACTGCACAGCACAGCTCAGCTCAGCTCAGCTCAGCACAACACAGCACAGCACAGCACGGCACAGCACAGCTCACCGCACAGCAGCACAGCACAGCACAGCACAACGCCACAGGGGGTGCGCTGGGGGTGGGGGCCCTATGCGTTGTAGGCTCCCAGGGCGTGGCAGGCGTGGCATTTCCTGGGCGCCGCAGGGGGTGCGCTGGGGGTGGGGGCCCTATGCGCTCCGTGCAACGCCCCAGGGGTGCGCTGGGGGTGGGGGCCCTATGCGTCGCAGGCTCCCAGGGCGTGGCAGGCGTGGCATTTCCTCGACGCCACAGGGGGTGCGCTGGGGGTGGGGGCCCTATGCGCTACAGGCTCGCAGGGCGTGGCAGGCGTGGCACTTCCTCGACGCCACAAGGGGTGCGCTGGGGGTGGGGGCCCTATACGTTGCAGGCTCCCAGGGCGTGGCAGGCGTGGCATTTCCTCGACGCCACAGGGGGTGCGCTGGGGGGGAGGGCCCTTTGAGGAGGAGGACGGGGAGGTGGGGCAGCAGCAGCGGCAGCAGCAGCAGCAGCTGCAGCAGCAGACGCAGCAGCAGCAGAAGCAGCAGGAGGAGGAGGAGGAGGAGGAGGAGGACACCGAGGAGGAGAAGGAGGAGCAGCAGCAGAAGCACCGATGGTACACATGGGAAATAAAATAGGTATGTGGGGTTCCTCGGTAGCGTAATTGACTGGTCTGGCCCTCTTGGAAGTCCTGCGCGCGGGAGCTCCGGCGGCTTCTTGGGGCCTCGCTGTGCTGCTGGAGACTTCCTGGGGCAGCCTGGGGGCCTCCTGGGACCGTTGTGGGGCCCTCCTGGAGCTTCTGCGTAGCTCCGGGGGCCTCCTGGGGGAGCTCCGGGAAGGCTCCGGGGAAGCCCCCCGAAGGGAAGGCGCGACTTCGGGGACCCTGGGTGCCCCGTGTGTGCTGTGGCCTGGTGCCCCCGGGGTCGGGCTTCGGGCCTATGAGTGGAATATTGTGGTACCAGGGGGCAAGAAGGAGGGAGGAGGTGGCAAGACGAGTAGAGAGGAAGGCGGGAAAAGGCGGAAGATAAACACGGATGATGAGTGGAGTGGGGAAGGGGGACGGTGGAGGGAGGAGGCGCATGTTCCAAGAGGCCTCCGAAGAGGGCCCCAAGTTGCCAAACTCGTTGATTTCCAATTGTTTTTTCTATGTTTTTTTGCGTTCTGGCCTTTTCGCTTCCGGACGCTCCAAGAGGGCCCAAGAGGCCTTCAAGACTGCTCCAAGACGGCCCACGAGGCTCCCAAGACGGCCCCGGAGCGGCCCAAGAGCGCCCCCCAGACGGCCCAAGTGCTGCCCAAGGCGGACCAAGAGGCCCCAAGACGGGCCCAAGAGGGGCTCAAGAAGGGAACCGAGAACTGAAAAATCGAGCCCTCCGCCCCAGAAGGCGCCCAGGACCCCGAAAGAGGCCCCAAGAGACTCTCCAAGACAC